GCCGCCGGTGCTGGGGCCCCTGCAGCAGCAGCCAAGGGCAGTGCCCGGAGCAGGATCCCGGCACAGCCCCCGGCCCGGCCGCCCTGCTCAGGGCCAGCACAGGAGAGATTTGGGGACAGGCTCAGAGCGCAGCGGCTCCCAAGTCTGCCCATTGCCACTTGGGTCCTGCCTTTAGTGTCCCCCGGCCAAGGGGGTTACTCTGGGCCCCCTAAACAACCAACTCAGCCCTCAGGGGCTGAGCCTCGTGCCAGTGCCCACGCAGCGTGCACGTGCGTCCCAACTCCCTGATGGCGAGAGGTGACAGGCTGGACCTGCGTGGTGCCAGGCCTGGCGTGGCTGGTGCACCCAGAGGTGCCAGGGTGCACACGGAGGTGCCCGGGTGCATGCGGAGGTGTCTGAGAGCCCAAAAAATTCAAGAGTGCACCCAGAGGTGCCCAGGTGCACACAGAGGTGCCAGGCTGCATGCAGATGTGCCCAGGTGCATGCAGATGTGCCCAGGTGCATGCAGAGGTGCCCAGGTGCACCCAGAGGTACCCGGGTGCACACAGAGGTGCCCGGGTGCATATGGGGGTGCCCGCAGGGGCCCACGTGCTGTTACCGGTGCCCGATCGGCTGCGCGCCCACGCAGGGCACGGCAGCCCCATCTCCTGCCCGTGCTGCCATGGGGAGGAGAGTGACGGGTCCCAAACACCCTCCTGGTCCCAAAGCCACCCCTGGGTGCCCGGGCTGCAGTGCTGGAAGCGGCTCCAGCGCGGCGCGGCCGGGAGCCCAAGCGCGTCGCCCTCCTGGTCTCCTGGCCTGGGGACCTGGAGCAGAGCGGGGAGGTGGCACCTCCTTGTCCCTGGGACTCGGGGTGCTCGTGTCCCCGGAGCAGCCCTGCAGGCTTGGATGGGGTGGGATGGGATGGGGTGTAATGGGATGGGGGACACCCGGGGATGATGGGAGCACCTGGGAAGTGGCGGCCTTTGTCCCCCTGTGTCATGCGGAGATGGCGCTGAGGGGCTGCTTTGTGTTGCAGAGTGGTGGGACAAAAGGGGACAAAAGGGGCCCGATGGCTGCTGCCCTGGGGCTGGGGCTGCTGGGACAATGCCAGCAATGCCAGAGGGGTGGGGAGGGGAACTGGGAGCTGGAATGGACATGGGGACATGGGGGACAGGGGATGGGGAGCGGGGGCTGGAATGAGGGGAATGAGGAGGAGAGTGGGGAAGGGGGAATGAGGTGGGGGCTGGGGAATGGGAATAGAGAATGGGAATGTGGCTGGGGAGGGGGGG